GAGCTCGGCAGCTTGAACTTTGCGCGATCATGCCTGGACCATGACTCCTATAAGATGTAGCCGTTTGGCGCGTGGTAGTTGGGATTTTTAAGAATAAGAAAACCCTGCAACAGACTAGACAGTGTCGTTCTCTGCGGTAGAAATCGAGATCTGATACTGGCTGTCATGCGACCCAGTGCTAGAGCTTTAGACAGGAACCTAAATCTTCACCAGATTGTGATGGTGCATTCATGTTCAGCTACATTCCGAAACCTTCGACAACTGATCCATTCCCGTCGAGGTGCTCGTCAGCTTTAATCGTCCCTTCACCTGCAGGCATTCATTGATGGGCAAGTAGACGAGGCTTAATGTCAGTTGGGTGCGAGCGTGCCCAATATGATCCGGTACCTGAAGGGCTCTCATTAGCCCTTTCCAAACCGGGATCTAGTCAATGCTTGATCCCTAATCACAGTGTTCAGGGGTTGCCATCTAGTGTCTCCATAAGGATTTCGGGGCGTAAGCGCCACATCTCCCTGTTGGGTTTAGAATGTAGGGTCTTCCAGCCTACATATCTTGTTTTCGGACTTGCAGTTGTCTCCATAGCAACCCCTTGCCAGCTGACACACCTCTGTCAGCTTCCTGTGGTTTCAGCCGCCACTTGCCTGCCCTAAGTTCCGATGACCTGAACACTGGCAAAGCTCATGTCTTGCCCGCAACCTTGCAGTTATCCCACTACCACCCGCAGCGTTTCGGCTTGTCCTAGCCAGCCTCAGAACTCGACAGCACGATCGTCAACCAATCGCTATAACCGACAGACCTGTAAAAAACAGAATTCGTGACTACTCGCTAACTAGCCCTAAACCAAAAAAGACTAGTTCAACAACAAAGCGCTGCTCCACGCCGAGGTTGAAGGCTCTGCCCTACTTCGCCGGTCGCCTTTCTAATGCTGTAGAATCTACAACAGATCAAAGCTTTAAAGGGATGATTGCAGGGACCCCGAAACCCTGAAGTGTACTCTACTCCGTTTAAAAACTTCAGGCTCCAACCCTAGACCCTAAACCGTTTTGGCTTTGGGTTCAGGGTTAGAGCCTGAAAAGGCTCCTCTCATAGTGCAGTGCAGGGTTGGGTCCGCGGTCGGAGCTCTCAGGTTGAAGGCTCGGAATCTATCGTTGTTTGTTTTTTTTTTTTTTTTGTGAGGGCCTTTTTCCGTTTTTCGAAAAGTCGGAATCTATAGTTTAGGGTTCAGGGTCTTGGGGTAGTAGGGTCGTAGGGCTTCTAACTCAAACTCAAGGGCTTTTTCTCAGTCTGTCGCGTTTAGGCTTAGGGCTTTGGGCTCAGGGTCACATCTCAAACCCGAAATCCTAAACCCTAAACCCTACACACCCTAAACCCTAAACCCTTGGGTGGGGCTTGGGGCTCTGACAGTAAGGGTCCACGTAGCTAGGTAGCAGAAAAATAAACTTAAGCATTGAAC